ACCACCCCAAAAGAAAGGACGTATTATTGGCTTCCCATATTTTTTTTCCCACGCCACGCTACTGGTGAACACAGCACACTGTTAGCTTACTGACACAACTTTAAAGAAGCATTAGCAGGAGGTTTTTCATTTGGCATATATGCAATACACTAAACCACTTTTATTTCACAAAAATTTACAGTAATTTATAAGTTTACATTATTCACTTTTCACGCACGGGATACGGTGAGGCAGTTGAGCGCGAGCGGTATTTGTTACTACTCTCGCTCTGACTGTCTGTCATTCCGCTACTTATAACTGTGGGAATGCTGATTCAGACGCTCATACATCTTTATTCTTACATTTATAATTTCTACTTTTCAATTCAATTTAAAAAAAAAAGATTGGGGAGGTAAGCAGTAGTAGTCCTGTACTTGTTGTACATTTAAGATCATTTGTATTTCCATCAAATTATGCTTTCGTGCTTTTTTTTTCTTTTTTTTTGGGTCACACTAAACAAACCTGTAATGTGTTAAAGATTAAACTATAGAATAGAATATCTTTATTGTCATCACACATCAGTGTAACGAAATTCAGTTGGCATCTCTCACTAGTACATAAATAAGAACACATCCAAAACATCGTTATGACATCATAAAGTGGCCAAAATCTGATCAGCTCGGTTTCAGACAGGTTTTTATATAAATGGATCAGGACAAAAAGAGAGAAGATATTTTTTCCTGAAACTTTCAGAATCTCTTTACACAGAGGGGACACATGTTAGAAGAGACATGAACAAGTGGATTTTGCATAATGGGTGACCTTTTAATAAAAACACATTTCTTTATAGAGTAGGCTTATGTGTCTATAGTAATTGAATGATTTAAAAATAAACAAATAATAAAACAATACCCTTTATAATTTAGTACTTTGACATTCAAGTGTTGTAGATGTAATATTCCTTTTATATGTGTAACTGACTGGATGACATGGAGACATTGCTTTAATTTCAGATAAGGCAACTTTATTGACTTAATACGTCTTCAGCCATGGTAATACAGTGCATCTATGCATCCAGACACACACCACTACGTATCACTCCGCGCCAACAGTATGCTACAATAGATAGATGGATTAGATAGAAAAAACAATTATAGTTGCATGTGCTATAAAAACAAATAACTTTATGTAACATTATTAAAAAGGATCCCTATTATAGTTATGTTTGTTTATATGCATTATGTAGTCAAAAGCCGAACAATGGTGTGGCTGTTGCATTTGTAAATACTTCTCCTATTGTATAACCTGTGTACGCTCCGATTGCAAATGTACTGACGTCAGCAAAAAACTTTGTTGCAAAAGTTGTTTTCCCACCAGATCCACTCACACTGCTGCCCTCCGATGTGTGCCATGTGATGTCTGTGTTGAACTCTATGATGGCAGTGTTTGGGTGCAAATCCCAACCCATGAGTGCATGACAAATGGAGCGTTGTCACACATTACTTTTCATTGTTTAATGTGAGGACTATGGACACTTGTGCTGCGCCCGGGCCCTTTAAAGTACCCTTCCTTTCAATTATCGGTTGTGCATTAGAGCTGCCTCAGTTCACACCAGTAATGGCATGTGCACAGTCGTTAGATTGAAGAAGCCATGCAGGCATGGCACACTTTACTTTCCCATGAGCATAACTTGATGGCGAAGAGCCAGTTGGAAGCTTGGTTTATTTAGCAGCTGCCGGAAACTGAGGCTTAAAAACAACAGTGCCTGTTTGATTTAACTGTACATTGTTTTAGCAACAAATTCAATAGAAATTGACAATTAAAATATCTGTTACACAATTATGTAACAAAGAGGTGTAGTGTGAACACTCAGCAGTGTTGGTGTGGGAAATGGCCATGGTCAAAAGGAATCTGTTTAAGAATGTATTTGGACACTTTTCCATTGTGTTGTCTTTTCTATTGTCTCTGTTCCCATTAGTGTTGTAATGAAACAGTGACGATAAAGGGCATGAGGTTTCAACATTAAACCGGTCTGAGAATATCTGAAGTCAGCACAGTTGCAGTGTAGGTTATGGTTTTATTTTCAGTCCAAAGGGAAGCATTTAACTGTCCAAGCACTGACTGCCAGTCATTATTCTTCCACAATGTAATAAAGTTGGAAGACATGTGAGGGACAGTTTAAACAAAGATCACAGTTGAATAAGAGGTCAGCATACTGGATTGTTAGTCCACAATATGGCTCAAGCTCTAAAAAGTTTAGGATGATTACTATTTTTTCATACCTGTTCAGTATTTATCACCTGTGGGCCTATTTAAGACAGTTTTAAAATAACAGTTTTGTATCTAGATTCAGGTATTACCAGAACGTGTGCACGTTCAGCTACTCCTCTGTGTGGTGGGACTGGCCCAGATGGGAGAGAGAGATCGACTGGATGGCTCTCAATGGGATCAACCTGCCGCTGGCCTTCACTGGCCAGGAGGCCCTGTGGCAAGAGGTGAGGGCTCAGAGTGACTCCTTACAGAAACGACATCAAACACTGGGGACGCTGCTTACAAACACTCCTTAGGGTCAATGTACTGTAAGCGTTAAGATTTATTTGAATATCTATATTTTGTCTAACGTGCTTCTTTGAAAAGGGCTAAATATTGATAAGGGATTAAATCAGTAGATCCATTATTCTGAGAGCAAAAACAGTGGTGAAGGAATGAGTCGACAAATTAGTTAGCATTGTGACGATGACAATTGAGCGGCCCGACCAAGCAAAGAGGCAGAGGCAGAACGTCCAAAATGATAACCCGGTGTGGGCATTTATTACACTCGAGCACAGGACACAGCCTCAATCCTGCTGTTCCCGTGCGAACAGTCACCAGCCACAAGGATCTCACACACCTCTCCCAAAACAGAAAAACCCCAGAGCCCAAATACCCACACACACTAATCAGTAGTAATCAGGAGACAACACAGGGCACCAGGTGGACACAATCAGCCGTAACAGACATGGGGGAAGGGGAACACTTTTCAACATAAAACCAGCAAACAGAGACATACAAACTAAAACACATACTGATGCACAAACTACATACACTTCGCCACCAACAAAGCTACTCAATCCGTAACGGAGGCCGAGATCTATGGCCCCAAAGATCACCTCCGTTACATTTCCTTACCCCTCTCCCCCAGAAGCACAGTGTCTTAAAATTATTGGGTTCCCTGCACGGTTTCTGCTTCCCCTTGTGCAGGGGGGGGGAGCGAGGACTGAAGTCAGAAGGAAGCTTCCCATTCTTCCTTTTGGCGCTCCTGCTGGTTCTGCTGCCTGACGCACTCTCTCTCCTGACGGATCTTTTCGGCCCTTTTCACCCGCTCCTCCTCGGCTAGAAAAGCATCTTCCTCGTCTTTGATTTTCTTCTCCTCCTCCTCCAGGCGTATCAAACGAGCCTCCTCCGCTAAGCGCATTTCCTCTTCCTTTCTCACCTTCTTCTCTTCCTCCCTCTGTAACCGGAGCTGCTCCTCTTTCTGCTCTTGCACCAATCTCCGGTTCTCCGCCAGGACCTTTGATGCCTCAGCGGCAGAGTTAGTGCCTGTCGAGCTTTTAGCCAATCTGCCGTCTTGCTTCCGGAGTCTCCGTTCCTCTTCCATCATGGATTCCCGTTCCTGTACCTGTGCAAACTGCTGCTCACAGGCTGCCTGAAGCTGCAGGAGTGACCTCATCATCTTCCTCAGTTCCTCCATCATTTTCACCTCCTCACTTGGTCAATCCCACTTCTGACACCAATTGTGACGCTGACAATTGAGCGGCCCGACCAAGCAAGGAGGCAGAACCTCCAAAGATACAACCCGGTGTGGGCATTTATGAAATGATCACAATGACACACAGCCTCAATCCTGCTGTTGTTTCCCTGAGCACAGCCTGCAGCCTCCAGGGTCTCACACACACACCTCCAAACAGAAAAACCCCAGAGCCTAAATGCCCAACCCAACAGGACACAGGTGAGGGGGGAGAGACAACACAGGGCACCAGGTGCACACAATCAATGGCAACAGGCATGGGGAAAGGGGAACACATTTCAAAATAAAATACAATAAATAGTATAAATTGTATAAAAATGTGCACATATGCAAGGCCCGAAGCCATCAGTCCACAGTGACGAAGTTACCTTCGTCACATGCAGCGTTGTATGTTGTTGTTATGGTTTAATGCATCACTGAAAGATCAATCACTGCGTTGT